CAGTGTATTTCAGTCAGTCTGCCTGTTCTGTTCCCTGCTCTGTCTCTGGTGAATCCTCTCACCCTCCTGCGAATCTGGCCTGTTCCCCGGTTTTTGTATGTATGGATAAATAAACAAATTAATTAATTAATTAATCAATCTTTGGATAAATAAATTGATAAATAAATCTTTAAACAAAAATTAAAAAATAAAATGCATACATACTGCTATAGGGGCATTTGCATACATATCCATGTATATACACAGATACGCACACACATGCCAAGGACATACGTTCAGCTATGGGGATGAGTACCTTGAGAGGAGGGAGGCTTTATACGTTTCATCTGTGTCCTATCAGTTCTCTTTGAGAAAATGTACAGCACCATGGGATAGTTCTAATAAGGAAAGAAACAGATACCACCTCAACTTTGGTCCAACACAAACTGGACCAACATTGGTCCAATTTTGTTTGCCCTAATGAATGCAGATTTTAAACCATTAATTTGCTTTTATTTTATATTCAGGGATTGGAAAGAATCAAGTGATGGAAACTGTGCCAGACTAGCAGCAACAAACATGGCTGCTTATGATTGTTCCAAAGTCATACAATTTATTTGTGAGAAGAAAATGGCATTTCCTGCTGCCTAGTCATATGAGCAAGCACCACAACAAAATACAAGTACAGATGTTCATAAAACATTGGAAGTTTGGGCCTCCCTGGTGGCACAACGGGTTAAGACACAACCTATGAAGCTATCCACAGGCACTGCAGCACGAGTTTGATCCCCAGCCGACCAGAGAGCTACCTACATGGCGAAACAGACCTCTCCTGACTGGCCTGCTGCTCCCCTCAGCAGTGTACTTCAGTGGATCTTCCTGTTCTGTTCTCCACTCTGTCTGATGAATCCTCTCACCCCCTACCCCTACACCTCTGGCCTGTACCCCAGTTCTTGTATGCATAAATAAATACATCTTAAAAAATAAAAATAAATAAAAAATAATTTTGGAAGTTCTAGAGTCTCTCTCTCATCTCAAAGGATCTTTGCTTTTTTAATGGATGGTTCCCACATGATAGCCTCTGATTGAAATGACAATGGAATTTCGGTACTCAGACCATTCAATCTCTCTCCACTGCCAACTGACAGTAGTTATGCATTCAGGTTGGTGGAGGGAGAGAGTAGCAGTGCTTCCAATGAGGCTTAGGAAGCAGAGTTCTCTATACCCTATAACTGCAACTCACACAGACTTATTAATACTGAAAACTTCAATCACTATTATGCATGTTTTGCCTGAGAAGGAATTCCAACATAATAAAGCCATTATTTTTATGAATTGTATGTACCTTTTTGTTTGATTGTTTAGGTTGTTTTGTATTTTATTTATTTATTTATTCATTCATTTATTTTTGAGAAATATAGATGGTATACTGGAAAGAGAGATTCTCCAATCAGATCTGAATAAGACCTGAATCACAGCTAACAGCTTTGCTCTCTGACAAGTCTAAATTTTTAGTTTCTGCCTAAGTAGATAAGCTCCAAATTATTTTCCAGTTTCTGCCCCATTTAGCATTCCCATCAGCAGTGCATGTATGCTCATTGGCTTGCAACCTCTCAAAATTTAGTATTAGCAGTTTTTTATTATTTTTTTAATTTATTTTTATTTATTTATGCATGCAAGAACTGAGGTGTAGGCTAGAGGTGCAGGGGAGAGAGGATTCACCGGAGACAGAGTGGGGAACAGACAGGCAAATCAACTTAAATACACTGCTGAGGGGAGCAGTGGGCATAACAACAGACATCTGCTTGGCCATGTGGGCTATCTCTCTGGCAGGGGATAGAACTTGTGCTGCAGTGGCTGTTGATAGCTTGATAGCACTGAGACAGCCTCCTGCATCACCAGGGAGGCCCCAGTATTAACCGTTTTAAAAACATTTAAATAAAGATGCAGTATATACTAAGATGTGGTTTTAATTTGCATTTCTCTAATGAATAAGTTATGTCACTCATATATTCATGTGTCATGTGCATGTGTCAATCATTTAGGGAAAGTATTCAACACATTTTTTTTTTTTAAGATTTATTTTTTCTTGCATACAAGAGCCGGGGTCAGAGGTGTGGAGAGGTGAGAGGATTCACCAGAGACCAAGTGGAGAGAAGAACAGGCATTTTTACTAAAATACACTGCCAAAGAGAGCAGTGGGTGAGAAACAGAAGTCTGCTGCGCCATGTGGGTTAGCTCCCTGGCCTGGTATCGAACTCATGCTGCAGTGGCTGCTGATAGCTTCATAGTGCTGAGACTTAACCCCTTGTGCCACCAGTAAGGCACATATATTCAAAGCTTTTGATGATTTTCATTGGGTTGTTTGTTATATTATTGCATTATGAGAGTTCTTCATATATTCTGGATACTGGTAATTTATCAGACATGTGGTTTATCAATATATTCTTCCATACAAACCAACGTCATATAGATTCAATGTACTCCCTATCAAATTTCAGTATCATTATTCACAAAAATAGAAAAAAATCTTAAATTTGTATGGAACCACAAAAACTACATATAATTGATTTATTTTTAATTGCTTTAAGTAACTGAATTAATCTCAAGAATAATGAGGAAAGCTAGAGGCCTCATACTTCCTGATTTCATATTATATTATAAAAATACAAGAATCAAACAGTTTGGTATTGGCATAAAAAACACATAGATTGATAGTAAAGAGAATGCAGAAATAAACCTGTAGCTATGCAGTCAATTAATCTTTGACAAAAGCACTAAGAATACACAATGAGAAAATGATAGTCACTTTATTAAGTGGTGTTGGGCAAAATGGATATATACATATAAAAGGATGAAACTGGATCCTAATCTTATATGATTCATAAAATTTATTTAAAAGATTAAATAAATAAAATATAAGCTCTGAAGTTGCATAACTCCTGGAAGAAATTATCAGGGGAGCACTTCTGTCTTGGCAATCATTTTTCAGACATCACAGCACAGGGATCAGCAGGAAAAGAACTGCAGGAACTACATTAAACTAAAAGTTTCAGCACATCAGAGAAAAATATCAGCAAAATGAAAAGGCAAGCACAGGAGTGGGAGAAAATATTTTTTCACTAATTGTACTGATATGGAACAATGTGTGAGACATCTTTTTAAGAGACAATATAAAGAAGCTGTGACTAGAAGTGTTATGGTTAAGAAACATGAGTTTAACAGACAGCAGGTCTACAGTCATACTTTCCTAAATTATCTCTGGAATAATATCTAGCAAACTGGTTACATCTTTGCCTCTGAGAAAGGGACAAGGTGAATAAAGGTGAAATGGATAAAGATAACTTGTTCATCATTTCATACCCCTATATTTTGAATGATGTGAATGTAGCAATTACCTGATTAAATACATTTAATTAAATGATTAATAAAAATATCTTTATCTCCACTCAAATGATTTGTTTCACATTCTCTGATTTATTGGTACTCAAAATTTCAACAAAATAAACTTACTTTAGGAACTTACAATTTTAGCAGATATACAGCATTTCTTCATTATCCTGCTTAGGGATGTTTCAGAGAGATCCTTCCTAAATCATGCACAGATGACTAATTTTAATGACATTACATGTTTCTTTACTAACAGTTACTAAAGAGTAAAAATTTTGACTTTGAGTATAGCAATTTTTTTTTTAATTTTTTTAAAGATTTATTTATTTATTTATACAAGCACTGGGTACAGTCAGAAGCGCAGGAGGGTGAGAGAATTCACCAGAGCCAGAGCGGGGAGCAGAGCAGGCAGAAGAACCGAGGTACACTCCTGAGGGGAGCAGCGGGCTGCAGGTGAGGTCTGCGCGCTATGTGGGACCCTCCTCCGGTGGTCGAGGTGCAGCCGGGGATCGAACCAGCGCTGCAGAGGCTGCAGGCAGCTTCGCAACCCAGCGCTCAACCGCTGCGCCACCGGGGAGGTCCTATAGCAATTCTTTTAATTATCAACATGGGTAAACTTTTCAGACATTTAAGGATACAATCCAACATAAGAAGCAGTAGTTGTTGCATCGGCAACACCACACTGAAAAACAGGAGTCGTGGAGCAGGCTGCATAATGCAGGATGCTGCTGAACAAGCAAGATCCTGGCCTTTTCCATTGCTAGAACAATCATACAGCGTCAGTTTCATGGAGTAGGAGGACAAAGAGAAAAAGATGGGAGAAACTAAAAAATGTATTTTTGAAATCTAAGCTTTGGGGGGACATGAGTCTACTGACCAGATAATTCTTATCTACTTGATGACCAAGTGTTGTAATTGAAACCATGCCCCAGGCCCTGGCCATGGTTGTAATCTTATCAACAAGGCGTTCCACTGTTCAGCTTCTGGGGTCCCTTTTCATACAGTGGTCTTTGGCCCCCGGGAGTTCCTGGTCATACCTTGCGACGCATACCCTTCCCAGAGTGATCCAGCTTTCTGCTCTTGGTTGATTTGTAAGAAATTTTGTAAGCGTTGGCTCCTATAACTGATTGAGTGGTTCTGACCTTGTATAGGAATGCAGACCTGTAGGTAACAGAATGGTGGCCTTAACAAGCCGCTTAAATCTAGCAGACCCACAAGTAGTAATATTTGTTTAACGTGATGTATCCAATTTTTCATCAGGTGTGGTAGGCTGAAATTTCTTGCCTCAGAAAACATATTTGTCATAGAAAGTTATACCTTAGGCTAAATCTGACAGTCACAAATTTAAATATGTGGGTATCATTATTTAAATGGCCATAAAATTATTGTGACAGACAAATAGTTGTAGAATTATAAAGTATTAATACAATTATCTAAAATGAATGGAATATAGGAAATGAAAATAGCATATTGAAAATTTCTAGCAACAGAAAGTTTGAACTTTATAAATGGAAATTTATAGAGTGAAATTTATTTGTGTTTTGTTACTTTTGCTAAAAAAATTGTGATAGTAATCTGTAGACATGAACATATAAGTTACATAAAATAAATGCCATAATGAAATGCTCCAACTTACAAATAACTGGGAATTATAAATCTGAATGACACAAGATGCCCTTTTTTATTGGTGAAGATTTTATTGCCCAAGTCAAACAGGTTGGGAACACACTGTGGAGTGAGCCTTGTGAAGCCTACAGGAGGGTGAGTATTAAATAGGTATCAAAATTTAAATATACATATGTTTGACACATTTATAGAATTGCTAGAGATTTACCTTATAGATATGATCTAAAGCAGATGATACTTTATTGAGTGCTATTCATTGCAGTGATTGTTGATAATTACAACATACTGGGAGAAACCTAAAAAACTGTTGAAATGAAAATGGCTAATAAATGTTGGTGCATCCACTTGTAATAATCGTAATTGTTTATAAAAAGTGAGTCAGTACCTATTTTTTTGCATAGAAGAACTGGGGGTGAGAGGATTCATCAGGGTCAGAGTGGGGAGCAGAACAGGCAGAGCTACTGAAATACACTGCTGAGGGAAGCAGCAAGTGAGACAGCAGAGGTCTGCAGTGCCATATTGGGTTAGCTCCCTGGCTAGGGACCAAACTCTGGCCATAGGGGTGATAGCGTTGAGACTTAACCTCTAGGCCACCAGGGAGGCACCGAGGTATTTACAATTTAACTATGTATAAAATTTCTTGTCTTTTTTTCCCTTTGTTATGGATGTTTAAAAGATTATGTCCTTCAAAATTTGGCATAATTTACTAATTTGGATTAATTCTTTTTTTTTCTAAAAGTTACTAGGAAATGAAAATATTGACTTTGATTATAGCAATTTTTTCTCATTATCAAGATTCTTTTCACAAATGTAAGGAAATAGTTTATTGCAAGCAGCAGGAGCAATATTTGTTGACATGATGAATCCACATTTTGCATCAGCTGTGGTCTGCTCAAATTTCCTGTGGCAGAAAACATGTTTGTTGAAGAAAGCCATGCTTTAGGCTATAACGGCTAAGTACAAATTTAAAATGGCACAATTATTTCTCTAGACATAAAAATCCTGTCACAGAAATACAGCTGTAGATTTATGATGTGTAATTATTTCAAAAATGAATGGAAACATTGGCAATGTTGCAATGATAATAAGAGATAGAGAAGAATTACAAAGGTTGGCATAGAATAGGATACGCCCATGGATTAGGCATGTACAATTGAAAAATTCTCCTGATACATTTGAAATCTTGAGGAAGTAGCAAAATCTGATAAATTCATTGTATAACACATGACAACTAGATATAAAAAATTCCAGTTTCCTAAGACACGTTAAAATGCATAGAGCACATGTCTCCAATGCTAGCCTGACTTTGAACATACAAGGTGCTCATTTGGGTTTAAAATGGGATTTAAAGTTTCCCACTGAGCTTATTGTCTTCCAGACCAAAGCATTAACATTTTTGAACTGAGCAATGACATTAGTGAATATGGATTTTAAAGTTTAGATCTAGGCTACAGAGATTATTAAAGATATGTCATAAGTCTCAAAAAACATTTCTTTTCCCCAAGCTATAATCTATGAGTGCATTACTATGAAAGGGCTGGGGAGGGAAAAACAATGAAATGAAAACTTACAGCCGATGAGAAAGACGAGCACCATCCAGCCACAACCAGGGGTGTGCAATTCCTTTTGTTCTTAATCCAACCCAGTAATTATATTGGATTCTCTGTTCGATGTATCTCTGTGATAAAATTAGAATTACTGATATTACTCATAATAGTAATCATAAATTTATCTACAGAGAACGTTCATACAGCTTCTCTTGCCAGTGTCTCTTCCTCTGCAGGTAAATCAGCACCAGTCTGTACCAATGATTTGCATCAAATTGATGAATAATATTGAAGGAAAAACTAAACAATTAGGGCCTCCCCGGTGGCGCAGCGGTTGAGCGCTGCGTTGTGAAGCTGCCCGCAGCCTCTGCAGCGCCGGTTCGATCCCCGGCTGCTCCCCGGCCACCGGAGGAGGGTCCCACATGGCGCGCAGACCTCTCCTGCCGCCCGCTGCTCCCCTCATTAGTGTACCTTGGTCCTTCTGCCTGCTCTGCTCCCCGCTCTGGCTCTGGTGAATTCTCTCACCCTCCCGCGCTTCTGACTGTACCCAGTGCTTGTATAAATAAATAAATAAATAAATGAATAAATAAATGAATAAATCTTTAAAAAAAAAAACAATTATCCTAACTTCAGACATCAGTTTTAATTGTGAAACACTTACTCAGGTTTAATAAAGCCAGCATACCTGTTCATCTTCATCATCAATCTTACTGAGAAGAGAACCTATGGCTTCACATGACTCCTTACTCTCATCCCAACTTTTCTCTTCTTTTGAAAAGTAGTAGCAATTGCTTCCACAGCAGGACCAATTTCCATGACATGTATCAGATGGAATTTGTTTATCTTGAACAACACCTCAAAATAATGTATATTTCAATAATTGATGTTTAACTTAATGAATTTTGTATATCTTGCAAACAAAAATAAGCATAATACTCAACCCAAGACCATTTAGAGACCTATATACATTATGTGTATTTCATTGCTTACTTCAGACTGAATCATCAGAGAATAGGTAACTTCCCTGTGTCATAATGTCTATGGGTTAAGAACAGCTCTTTTTCCAAATCTGTAGATATTTATATTACAGAGCTGAAGATGATCTCTGACAGACCCAAGGCTGTTGCTATGATTGTGAAAAAAGTAAAGTACTAATAATCTTCTGTGAGTTGGAGGAATTATGTAGGGAGGAATCTATCCAAGCGAATAGTAGTAATTCCAAGAGCTCTAATATGAGCGAAATTTATCCACAAGCAGAACATTCTCAAATAATTAAAGCAATATGACAATAAAATAGATTTTGCAAAGGTCAAGCATTCAATTAACTATAAAAATGAAATGGATTTGATAAGAAAACTTGAGTAAAATTAAAGGTCTTGAAAGATTTCAATGTTAAGTTTTAAAAATGGAACAGAATGGGTAATGCCATTAAAAAAAAAATGATGGTGGCTCTCAGTGGATGAATGTAGTACATACTTGTGCAAGGTTGTAAAGTTGAAAGAGCCTCAATTTCTAATGCCGTAGCATTTCTTCCTTTTGTGTCCTCTAGGTCTTGTATTTTGCATGCAAAAGAGCTCTGTAACACTTCAATCCATATTAGAAAATTAAGATCATGAATTATTTTAAAAAAAATCATTTCATTTTCATCATGTACTTTAATTCTAGATAATATAGTAAATGATAATAACTAAAAGACAATCAGTAAAAATGTAAAGTTACAATATTTTGAAGAGCCAAAAAATAAAATTGATTCTTAAAATAATTGTATAATTGGCAAAACATATTTATTATTACTTTTGTTATTCTTAATAATATTTTTATTAGTTTGCCATTGGATTATAACACTGTATATGATTCAGAAATCATATACAGGAATATGCAATGTAATATTTTTAACAGTATGTTAAACAGTATTCAACATTTATAAGCAGAAAACATAAACTGGAACGAGGACATTATTAATAGTTTTTATGGCACGTGTTCTTTTCAAATAACAATTTCGACTTTTGTGGCTCCATTCAGTATTTGGTTTTGAAGTTAAAGTAAAGTTAAACAAGATTTATTTGACTTTATATATAAATTTATATATTTATATAAATATATGAGTATATAAGTAAGTGTAATATATAGACCTATATTGAGTATGTACTTACATATATGTGGATACAGCATATATGTAAATACGTATGTCATGACATAAGTTCATATTCTGGAATATAAATTTAGGATGGATTCATTGAAATACATGGGCAAAGAACTCCTACAGCTACTCGTACAAAACTAAAGCTTAATATCCCTGAAAGAAATAACACTCTACCAAAATCAAGAATGGAATGTATATGTATATTAAAAAAGTGAAATACAAACCAAAATGTTAGAATAAAAAAGATGTCTATAATTTGTAATAAATATTTATTATTTATAATCACTTCATCTGCTTCCTAATATTTGAATAAATTTCAACATTGCAATCTGACTTCAATAATTCATATAGATGAAAGATGGATCCAGGACTGATAGAGAGATAGATACCAAGTGGTATTACTTTCCTCTTGTCTGTCAGCCATTCCATCAAATGTGTATTTGTCAAATTCTACATGAGGTGTTTCGGGTATCTGTTCCCTGCTCTCCATCATCCCTTCATGAATAATTCATATAGCATTGACATTAATGCTGATTCTTGAAACAATTGCCACATGTTCACTTTTTAGTCTACCAAGACCACCAACCATTCTAAATTCCCTCTCTTTCAAGAAACATGAGGTTCTCCCACTTAAATTCTTGCAACAATTTCCTTTGCTTTATGAATAGAACTAGGGCCTCCCAGTGGTGCAGCGGGTTGAGCATAGCGCTGTGAAGCTGTCCACAGCCTCTACAGTGTGGGTTCGATTCCTGGCCAGCCAGGGAGATACACACATGGCGCATCCACTGTTGCATCCACTGCTCCCCTCAGGAGTGTATTTCAGTCAGTCTGCCTGTTATGTTCCCCTCTCTTTCTCTGGTGAATCCTGTCACCCTCCCACGCTTCTGGGATGTACCCCAGCTCTTGTATAAATAAATAAAAAAATCTTTTTAAAAAAGAATAAAACTAAATTTTTTTTAATATGGCATAAAATGGCTTCATGAATTTACCCACCTGCTTCAGCCCATTTCTGTTCCCTACTTCTATTGATATAGGAGTTGAAATTTTCCTAACACATAGATATATTCTATCTTCTTGTTGTTTTCTACCTGGAATAATTTTCTCTAATCAAAGTTTTATATTATTTGTGGATTTTACAAATGTAATAGTAGGTAAAAAAAATCATCTGATCATTGTCAACATCATCGTGACTTCAAGCATTTCTATAAAACTTTATAGTCTGCAAAGTGGTTATTATAGTCTTCAGAAGTGGTTTAGCAGTTACAGTTTAAAGCATTTCTTGAAATAGCATTGGTTTATAGCAACATTACATAGTTTTCATTAGCAAAGCACTAATATACTGTCTCATTTTTAATCCTGGCTTATTGCTTTCATAATAAATATGTTTACCTGATACTCACACATATACACAAAGATTCTGGTTGCCAGCAAGAGAAAAAAAGATATTATTCCCAGGATTATTGAAGCAATATGCCATGAAAATTCTGTACAAAATCAAAGAGTAGAATACTTAATGAGCATGACAGGGACATCAGAATTAGAGCAAAATGAAATTTTTCTGAAGTTTCAGATTGTTATCACTATTTTCCCCTGATCACAAATCTCACTGAATATTACATTTAAGTATGGTTGTCAATATATAAATAAGCACACATATAATACAATTGTTATGATTTATTTATCATCTGACATATTTTCTGAAAACAAGAAATGACATAAAAAAATATTTACCTCTCTTTTTATGAGTTGGGTTTCCCTTATCCTTTTGTTTCTTTGAGTGAGAAAATTTCTGTTCCTTAGATGACTCTTTGTCCTCATTCATTTTTGATGGCTGTTGGCAAAGAACACACTAGGAATCCTTTGCAATGCTTCACAGGCATAATACAATATTCCTTATGAAGTAAGAGAGAGAGTGAGTAATTACTATGAAGGTCTCAAAAAAAACTCAATTAAGATACATTTTTCTGGGAGCATCAGAAAAATCAATTTTAAAGATATCTTTCTGTACAGACTTTCAAACAAAAGTTTTACATATTAAATAATGGAACATAATTGTTTATAGAAATGTTAATTTCCATACTATTTGTGACTAACTTACCGACTACCAAAATTTAGAAATTGATATATTTAACGCAAACCTGAAAAATGATTTTTTCTTTTGACAACTATGTCTTATAATTAATACCTAAATTAGATTCAAATGGAAAATATTCAAAGGGACTAGAGTCCATTCTTTTAAGAATGCACATTTGAACTTTTTCAATTACACTTAAGGATGAGAGAATTTGAATTTTGGAAAATGCATTGTGGAGGAACACCTAAAAACATATGCCTCAAAAGAATTAAATTTTTCCCAAAATGTGTACTGGTAAAAAGAAGTTCATATTCTGCATATTAAGCATTTTTGACTCACTCTCATTCTGATCTATTGAAAATAGAAAATTTTCATCTGTAGGATAACCTTGACATTAGATATATTCCATGAACATGGATCCTGAGGTCAATTCTTTCCTACAGCAATTCAAAACCCTCCCAGCATTCTACATAGTTTTTCTACAGCAAACTCTATGTGATCCCTCCCTGCCCAGCAGCCTGACAGCAGGGTTGGGGTCACAACCCACACTGGCAGATCATACCTGTGTCTTTGCACCAGCTGGAGGATGAGCTTGGTCAGTTACCCGGTGAGGATGTGCTGGCGCTGCTGGCCTTGCTCCTCTGCTCTGACACAAAGAGGAACTAGTTGATATGAATTTATTGGTCTTCAGAGAGACTGTGTCAGAAGAAAGCCTATGACCATAGAGCAGTGGTCATTCCCACACAGAAAGCTTCCACTACAGTCATTCATTTATGTAGCCACACTGTGTCATATAAGAATATAGAATTTCAAAGTGCTAAAATTATTGAAATTTGTGGATCAATCCAAAGCTAAGTTTTAGAAGTTACGATAAAACTTGAAAAAAAAAAAAAGGCATCCTTATAATCTCCTAAAACTAAGAAAGAGATCACAAGGTAGTAAATAAAACTATAAAATGGGAAATCTTCATATGCTATGTGGCGTTTTTTTATACATAAAAATAAAATATATCAACCTGTGCATAAATGTCAGCCTACATTTTAATAAACATCCTGATATTCAAATGGATTGAGAAAATACATTAAATATATACAACATTGGGTTGATTGACTTGAATAAGAGGCAGTTTCAATTTCTTTCTATTTCTTTCTTATATTCTTCATAAATTATAGAAAGGCATGGACTTTCAATTTAAATAAAAAAAATAAGAGAGAAGCTTAGTATGTTAAATGAGTTTGAATATAACAGATCAACAGTATCAAGGTAAAAAATCACCTGTTCCACTCCCTAGCTGTAGACAATCATCAAAGCATTGTTTTAAGTCTTACTTGTTAAATAAATTGAAAGGTCTTTGAACTGTTAACCTAAGAAATATTAGTTAATTAGAAACAAAAGCAGTTCTTTTTTTATAAATCAACCCGAATATTCATATGCTTTAAAAATCTTGGAAATATATAGTAATAACTATTGAAATCCATCCCTGTGTCAGCTATAGCATTTGTAGGCTTTTTTTTTTTTTTTTTTCTCATTATGGTAACATTGGCTTACAGCATTGTCATTTAGAGGTATACTGTCTCCCCCTTCAGGAGTTGTTACCACCACGCCATGCCCACCACCAAGGCACCCTTAGTCCACCATGATCCATTGTTTTCCCTACTCACTTTCCTGCTCTCTCCAGTAGGCTCAGTTAAATACTCAGATATTTAGGTTTGTTATTTGCTTAGCTTTATCTGACTCTGTTTTGTTTCTCTATATTCCACATATAAGTGACACATTCTGATATTTGTCTTTCTCCTTCTGACCTATTTTTCTTTGCATAATACCATCCAGTTTCATTCATATTGTCCCAATGTCAAGAATTTATCTTTTTTAATATCTGAGTAGTTCTCGATTGTGTATATCTACTTCATCTTTTGGATCCACTCATCTGTCTTTGGAGACTTAAGTAGTTTCCATAGCTTGGCTATTGCATATAGTGCTGTGATGAACATAAAAGTGCATATTTCCCTTTAAATAAGTGCTTTTGTATTTTTTGTAGGAATGGAATTGCTGGGTCATTTGGTAGAACCTCTTTTTTAATTCTTTACAAAACCTCCATAATGTTTCCATGGGGCCATTGTTGCAGAAATAAATTCTAGCTTTTTACCCAAGCAGGGGAAGAGCAAGAGGTACTTTAGGAATGGTGAGGCCAGAAAAGCTTTATTACTCATGCATGAGGTCTCAGACCTGGGTAATCCCCTAAGGTCTGAGCACTGGTCTAGAGACAAAAAGTTTCTTATATACACAACCACTTTACATTGATAAAGTTGGTTAGTTAGCATACAAATGCTTGACACAGGAAAAGGGGAAGGATAAGTTCTTCCAGGATGGCCTGGGAGATCAATCAGCCTAGCAGGCTGCCAGATCTTGTTTAGATATGCTTATTAAGGAAGCAAACTTTTATTTATCTTACATTTCCAGGTCTATTTTTAACAGGGAAAGATTTCTTTTTCTCAGCAGTTCCCTTTCACCATGGCCAGCCTACATTCCCACCAACAGTATTTGAGGTTTCCCTTTCCTCCACATCCTGGCCAACTCTTGCCATTTCTGGTCTTTTTGGTATGAGCCATTATCATGGGCGTGAGGCGGTAAGTCATGGTGTAAAATAATAATCAGATGAGTTGTGGTGACACAGGAAATGTCCAAAGATTCTGTTTTATAGTTATCTATTTTTAATGTTATCTTGTGGAAAGAGCAATATAAAAATAATTTTCTAAAATTTTGAGTTTTCCAGAAATGTACAAGCTGATGAGTCTGTGATCATTTAAGATTATTGATTTATAAGCAAGGCAGCCATAGTTTATTTTTTGATTCTCTAATATTCTTTTCTTTTTTTAAAATTTAGTTCAGGAGTACAGAATCATTCTTTGGTAAATACATATGCCACACTGTAACTGGGTGGTCCCCAGGAAAGGGGGAGGTTCCCTTCCCCAGCCAAGGGGAGGGTGGAGCTGAGCAGGGAGAAGAGAAGCTGCAGAAGAGACTGAGGAAGGAAGCAGGATGGAGCCAGAAGGAGACCTGGAGGAGGCACATGGAGCCTAGAGACACGTGAAGAAACTGTGATTGTCTTTTGGTCGTGGACTGGGTGACACAGATGTGGGTGAGACCCGTGGGGAGGTGACAATGGCAGCTTTTATCTTGATGTTGATTTTGCTCTTTTCCTTCCGGACTTGTCTGGTTGTTTCTGACCCTTTTCTGTGGGTCCCCACTGGAAGATGCTTTAGACTTGTTGCAGGCTTTGGGGCCTTGTTCTGGGCCGATCCCGTATGGATGTACTTTTACCCACGAGGGGACGGGTAACTTTGGGTGCTTGATTTAGAAACTAGATTCTTTGCCTTTCCTGTATTGTTTCCTAATTGTATTAAAGTTCCTTCCCATTAAAGTCTCATATGTTTTGTGTTGATGCGGCGGATGGCAGAACCCATTTAGAATAGGCAGTTTTGCGGGGTTTGGGCTGCCCCTCTCCCTGTCCTATAACAACACCACCAACTCCACACCACCATTATCCTGTTGACTCCTTCTACTCTTATCTCCCTCTTCCACACCCACCCCTCTGGTAAACATTATTTCATTGTCAGAGTCTACATGTTTGTTTTTTGTTTGTTATCTTTGTTTTATTATTTTTTTATATTCCACATGAGTGAAAGCATATGGTATTTATCCTTTTATTTTTCACTTATTTTTCTTAGCAGAATATCCTCAACTTCCATTGATACTGTTGTAGAGAGAAAGATTTCATCTTTAAAAAAACAGCTAAGTAGTACTCCATTGTGTGTGTGTGTATACACACCACACCTTTTTTTTTAACAGAGGCAATATTAATATACAACATTGTGTGTGATTCAAATGATGGAGGACAAGCATAGAAAAACTGAAAAGGAGGCACTGTTAGGGGGAAAGGATGTCCTGAGCTAATCCCATACAGGCTTTGTGGACTCCACCCCCAATCCAGACCAAAGTCATCAGGACAATGGGAGAGACAAATCCCATCACCACCAAAGGGAAGGTGGCTGGGACCTAAGGGTGGAGTTAAGCAGCCAGGTTTGGCATAAAAACCAAACACGTGGCCTTGAGGGCTCGCTCTGTTGCTTGCCTCCTGGCTTCATGGCTCCTGGCTGGCGGCCAGCTCTCAGAGTGCGGATTGGGTAGGACTCATTTAAAACTTTGTCTCCCACTTTTCTCCCTGAGTTGTACATTTCCTCATTTGCCCTTCCCTTGTAAATAAACCTTTTATTAACCTTTCCTGTGTGCCTGCAGTAGAGCATTGATAAGTCCTTTTAAGTGCGTGGGTGAGGACCCACAGTCAAGCACCCCGTTTTGTATCGGGGCTGCCCTATAACAGCACCATAAGACCAAAAACCTGGGTCACACAAGGAGGTGGGCGTAGAAGAGATTAGCATAGCCATTGACACAGCTATGGAAACCAAGATCCTTAGGCATCAACTCCTAGATTGCAAAGACTGCAGTAGGGAGTGTCTAGAGCACAGGCCCAGGTGTAAAGATAAGGAGACTGAGCTCAACAGACCCCAAGGGCAAAGATATGGAAATTGAGCCCATTGTGGAATCTCAGGTCCCTTTCAGAGTCTGCAGAGTTATCCAAAATCAGCCCCTCCCAAACAGAATACTATATCAGTGCAGTCTTTGCACAGACTGGGGACAGCACTCTGTCTGCCCACCTGTGCTTATGCAGAGGCCTCTTCTCACCAATTCTCTCCCTCTGCAGGGCAACAGCTTCCTGCCTACCCATGACCTGTACCTGCTGGCACTTCTCTTCACTGACCTCCCTCAGGAGGGGCCGCTCTCCTCAAGGCCGCCCACTTGCAACCATGCAGGCCTCTCTCAGCAAACCTGTCCCTTCTGGGGCAGCTCTTCCTGCCGCTTGTGTCTATGCAAGTGTCTTTTATTGTTTTATCCCTTCCCTAATAAACCTGCCCTTTAAATATAACTAATGTTTCTGTCTCATGGAGAAACTCGCCTAGGAAACTCACTGCATGTCGCTGAAATGGGAGCTCTGGTGAAACCTTTCCCAGAGTGAACCCAAGCACCCCACACTTCAAACCCACAGACTCCAGAAAACCACATCACAAAGGCATAGGACCACGATGATATACTTTCTGGAATTGATGGGTTTGGATGCAGAGTCCCTGGATTCACTCTGGGAAGGTTTTGTTACCATGGATGGCTCTGTCCTAAATCACGTTGGGCACCAAATCTGTTATAGGACAGGGAGAGGGGCAGCCCAAACCCCGCAAACCTGCCTATTCTAAATGGGTTCTGCCACCCGCTGCATCAACACAAAACATATGAGACTTTAATGGGAAGGAACTTTAATACAACTGTTGTAGAGCAACCCCGATACAAAACGGGGTGCCTGACTGTGGGTCCTCACCTGTTCTCTTAAAAGGACTTATCAATGCTCTACTGCAGGCACACGTGAAAGGTTAATAAAAGGTTTATTTACAAGGGAAGGGGAATGAGGAAATGTACAGCTCTGGGAGAAAAGTGGGAGACAAAGTTTTAAATGAGTCCTACCTGATCTGCCGATCAGGAATCCCAAAATGGCGCTCTCAGAGTTGGCCTCCAGCCAGGAGCGGTGAAGCCAGGAGGCGAGCGATCGCGAGCCAGAGACCCCAAGGCCCACGTGTTTGGTTTTTATATCCAACCTGGCTGCCCAACTCCACCCTCAGGTCCCAGCCACCCTCCCTTGGTGGTGATGGGATTTGTCTTTCCCAATGTCTTGATGGCTTTAGTCTGGAGTGGGGGTGGGGTCCACAAAGCCTGTATGGGATTAACTCAGGACATTATTTCCCCCTAACACAATTAGGAAACAATACAGGAAAGGCAAATAATCTAGTTTCTAAATCAAGCACCCAAAGTTACCCGCCCCCTTGTGGGTAAAAGTTCATCCATATGGGATCGGCCCAGAACAAGGCCCCAAAGCCTGCAACAAGTCTAAAGCATCTTCCAGTGGGGACCCACAGAAAAGGGTCAGAAACAACCAGACAAGCCCGGAAGGAAAAGAGCAAAATCAACATCAAGATAAAAACTGCATGGTTACCTCCCCATGGGTCTCACCCACATCTGTGTCACCCAGTCCACGACCAAAAGACAAGCGCAGTTTCTTCACGTGTCTCTAGGCTCCATGTGCCTCCTCCAGGTCTCCTTCTGGCTCCATCCTGCTTCCTTCCTCAGTCTCTTTGTAACAGGGTGGTCCCCAGGAAAGGGCCCTCTCCCTGTCCTATAACATCTACTGCAGCTTCTCCTCTCCCTGCTCAGCTCCACCCTCTCTTGGGTGGGGCAGGGAAACTCCCCCTTTCCTGGGGACCACCCTGTTACAGTTTCACCAGAGCTCCCCTTTTAGCAGCATGCAGCAAGTTTCCCAGGTGAGTTTGTCTGTGAAACACAGACGTTAGTTATATTTAAAAGAGCAGGTTTATTAGAAAAAGGGACAGAAAAGTAAAGGACAGTCGCACAGACACAAGTGGGCAGTAAAAGCTGCCCTGTCGGTTTGCTGAGAGAGGCCTGCATGGTTACAGGCAGGCGGGCCGTAAGGAGAGCTGCCTCCCCTGAGGAAGGTCAATGAGGAGAAGCCCTGGCAAGGTGCAGGTCATGGGCAGGCAGGAAGCTGCTGCCCTGTGGAGGAGAGAGAGTTGTGAAAAGAAGCACCTGCATAGTCACAGGTGGACAGAGGAACTGCTGCCCAGTGCCAGTGCAGAGATTGCTCTGATACAGATTTCTTTTCTTTGGGAGGGGCTCAGTTCTTCATGGAGTGGCTTGTTTGTAGTTAACTTTGAATAAACTATGTAAAATTTGAAAGGGGTCAGATTCCTACAATGGCCCTCAATCTCCATATCTTTACCTTCTGGTCAGTGCTCCTGACACTCCCTACAGCAGTCTGATACCTGCTTGGGTCTGGTACTTTTTGATCTAGGCATTGGCACCTAAGGATACTTGTTTCTGTAGCTGTGTCAATGATTATGCTAATCCCTTCTACCCCCACTTCCAGCTCTTGGCATTGTGTGAGTCAGGTTTCTGGTCTTGTGGTGCCTCCTTTCCAATTTTTCTATTTCTATCCTCCATCAATACCTCCTCAGATGCATGCCTCACCTTAAACCCAACTCTCAGGTACCCAACATCCTCCATCATGTTTTCCTCCCCACTGTTACTCCTTCCCTGTAATCTCAGGTCCACAGTCAGGTTTCTAGAGTTTCCTATTAATTTGTAGACCACATCTTCTTGCATCATCTGTTGATAGACACAGGCATTATTGCCATGTTTTGGTTATTGTGTTGAGTGCTGCAGATTTTTATTTAGTTTATGAGAAATACCATAATAATAGAAATGCACATAGAACTTGTTTCGGATTAGTGACAGGCTCAAATATTAATTTGGGTTTCAGGAACAATAACTGAGACCTTAAATGCTTTTTTAAATTTCTTTTTTGCCATTCTTCAGCACGTGGCAAGTTTATTAAGGAAAAAAGAACAAGGAAATAGACACAGGCGGGCAGTCTTAAAGGACAAGAACTGCTTAAATTCCTTTTTTTTTTGATTTAAGAAAATTTAAGATTTAGTTTTTAATCTAAACATGATTTTCTAGAGGCTGAATTTAATATTTAAAAAAAAAAATATTTATGGATAGAAGACTGGGGTGTAGACCAGAGATGAGAGGTGAAGATTCACCAGAGACAAGAGTGGGGAGCAGAGCACATGGATCTACTGAAATACACTGCTGAGGGGAGCAGCAGATGAGGCAGGAGGTCTGCTGAGCCATGTGGGTTAGCTCCCTGGCAGGGGATCAAACTCAGGCCCTAGTGGTGGCAATGCTGAAATTTAACCCCTAGGCCACCAGGGAGGCCCTAGATAATTTTAATTTAAATTTTTTTCTTAGATTTTCCTGTCTTTTATCTTGTGGTTCAAGTCTTCTTTTACTTCCCTCCCCACTCTCACTAGGTGACATTTTCAAAAAATTAACTTTTCTTATTCCATATAGCTTGATTTGATTATTGTCATTTATGATAGAGGACAAGAATAGGAAAAATGGAAAAGGCCTCACAAGGGGAATAACATGACCATTAACCCAGCTGTAGAGGTCAGACCCTCAGGCGCCAGTGCCTTATCACTAGGCTTGAGACCTGAGCAGGATCAGATGCTACAGGGCATGGAGCACAGGCCTCAGGGTAAAGATATGGAGATTGAGCCCACCCTGGAATCTATGGTCCCTTTCTAGTTTTGCCTGTTACCCAACCTCGGCAACAAGCAGCCACTCCACAGTTGCCACTCCACGGAGGAGTGACCCCTCCCAAAGGAAAAGGACTATATCAGTGCAGTCTCTGCACAGGCTCCGGGCAGCACTCCCACTGCCCACCTGTGACTATGCAGGTGCCTCTTCTCACCAACTCTGTCCCTCTGCAGGGCGGCAGCTGGCAGCCCGTGATCTGTACCATGCTCGTGTTACAGGGCATGGAGAGAAGCACCCCAGACCCTGCAAACCTGCCTGCTCTAAATGGGTTCTGCCATCCGCCGCTTCAACCAAAACATATGAGACTTTAATGGGAAGAAACTTTAATACAATTAGGAAACAATACAGGAAAGGCAAGGAATATAGTTTTTAAATCAAGCACCCAAAGTTGCCCATCCCCTCGTGGGCAAAAGTCTACCCAAGCAGGATTGGCCCAGAGCAAGGCCCCAAAGCCTGCCACAAGTCGAAAACATCCTCCAGTGGGGACCCAGAAAAACAACCAGGCAAGTCTGGGAGGAAAAGAGCAAAATCAAAATCAACACAAAAACTGTCATTGTCACCTCCCCACGGGTCTCTCACCCACATCTGTGTCACCCAGTCTACGACCAAAATACAAGTGTAGTTTCTTTACGTGTCTCTCAGCTCCATGTGCCCCCTCCAGGTCTCCTTCTGGCTCCATCCTGCTTCCTTCCTTCCTCAGTCTCCTCTGCAGCTTTTTTTCTCCCTACTCAACTCCACCTTCCCTTGGGTGGGGCAGGAAACCTGAAACCTTCCCCTTTCCTGGGGACCACAGTTACACTCAGACTTAGCTTTACTGACCTCCCTGAGTGGAGGCCGCTTTCCTCAAGGCCACCCGCCTGCAACCATGCAGGCCTCTCTCAGCAAACCTGTCCCTTTTTCCTTTCCCTAGTAAACCTGCTCTTTAAATATAACTAATGTCTCTGTCTAGTGGAGAAACTTGCCTGGGGAACTCGCCCGGTGCCGCTGAAACGGGTGCTCTGGGGAAAGCTTTCCCAGAATGAACTCAAGGACCCCCCAACACTCTGCAAAATGACATCAATTTATACCAAATATTCCCAATAAAATACAGACAGTTATTCATAATTGAATGATGAATTGATAAAAAGTGTAATGAATAATTGCTTAGCATTTCAGTCTGTAGTAACAGTATAGTTCACTATTATTTATATTTTGTCCTTCTGTTGTCGTTTTTGGACTTTGTGGGTTTGATGTGTGGAGTCCTTGGGTTCACTCTGGGAAAAGTTTCCCCAGAGCTCCCCTTTCAGCGACACGTGGCCAGTTTCCCAGCGAGTTTCTCCACGAGACAGAGACGTTAATTATATTTAAAGGGCAGGTTTATTAGGGAAGGGACAAAACAGTAAAAGACACTTGCTTAGACACAAGCGGGCAGGAAGAGCTGCCCCAGAAGGGACAGGATTGCTGAGAGAGGCCTGCATGGTTGCAGGTGGCAGCTGTGAAGAGAGCAGCCTCCCCTGAGGTCGGTCAGAGAAGAGAAGCCCTGGCAGGTACAGGTCACAGGCAGGCAGGGGCCTGCTGCCCTGTGGAGGGAGAGAGTTGGTGAAAAGAGGCACCTGCAGAGGCACAGGTGGGCAGACAGAGTGCTGCCCCCAGTCTGTGCAGAGACTGCACTGATAAAGTCTTCTGTCTGGGAGGGGCTCACCCTTTGTGAGCCTTTGTTTAGTTGCTGATTTTGGATAACTATGCAGACTCTGAAAGGGTCTGAAAGGGACTGGAGATTCCACAAGGGGCTCAATCTCCTTATCTTTACCCTTGGGCCTGAGCTGTAGACGCTCCCCAGCAGTCTGATACCTTCTTGGGCTTTATGCTTTGTAATCTGGGCATTGGCACCTAAGTTATTGGTTTCTATAGCTGGGTCAATGGCTATGCTAATCCCTTCTTCCCCCACCTCTGGCTCTTGGCATTTTGTGAGTCATGTTTCTGGTCTTATGAGCACCTCCTTTTCAGTTTTTCTATTCCTGTCCTCCATCACTTCCAAGGGACATTTTTTCAGAGGAAATGTGCAGATTAAAATATTTGTCTAAAAATAATAAAACTGAATGTAATCACTAAGGCAGAAATATAGATATACTAATTTAGAAATGATGGACTCTGTGCCAGGCAAATATAGTTGGGGATGTGGCAATTCCTCAGGATACATAGTAACAAATAGTTTTAAATACCTGTTGATAATCAGTTTAATACTTTACAGATTTTTTTTCATGATAATAGAAATAATATGTGTGTAAGGTAAAGAAGGAAGTAATGCCAAGATTCAGCAATCTACTTCTAAAAGTAAAACTGAAGATGGTCTAAGCATCTAGTATTTGTAGCTGAGATGCACACAGTTCACAAGTTCACCTGAATGGTCCAGCCCTCCCATATCTTGTAGAGTGTGAAAGTAATATCCTAGAGGCCTTCAGAAAGGACAAACAAACCATCCAAATTGTCCTTTCAGCTGGAAGCAAATCTCCTATAATCTGGACGTGTGTGATGCTACACACTGACTTCAAAATAACCAGTGAGAATTTCCTGTTCAAACCTTAACTGACACATTGATGAGAAATCTACTTTTTCCACTCTTGTTTCACTCTGAGCCTTCACAGGGCATCTGTGAAGACCACAGATATTGTTTACTCTTCTCCTGGATTTATCTTTTCAATTTCCTCCTCGATTTCCCAGCAACAGCTGAAAAACTTTAAGAGAATAACCTGGTCACTGCACAAAAGAATGTACATCTTTCTGACTGGCAGAAGGTATGTGTCCCTACTCTCCTCTCTATCTGCTGTGCCCCCTTATTTAGTGGGGGATAACACAATGTAAAATGGGATGGCAGGTGATGTACAATTAATATCCAAGAAAATCAAATTAGAACATTGGGGTTTTTATTTGAATAATTCAGGGCAAGGTAAAAAGCATCCAATATAATAAAAAGGATGTCGAAAGATTTCCAAAAGTATTCAAATTATTGCTTGTAAGAAGTCAAGTATATACAGATTTATATTTGCGTTTGTAAGTCAATATAATTTAAAGTGAAATCTTCATACATATGACAATGAACGATTAATTTTGGATTTAATAACCAGTGCAGGATATTTCTTTGAATGCTTAATTTATATTTTGAGCAACTTTATTAATTGATGCCTAAAGAGGAACTCATTGACTGATGAAGACAAAGCACAATTTATTGCACACTTATTTAGACTGAATAAAAGCAGCTTGACTTTCAATAAGAATCAAGATGACATAGCTTCCATAAAATGCTAATTTAAACATATAGATAATCAAAAAAATAGATTTGAAAATCAAGCAAAACAGATGCTGCATACTGATTAAAGAACTGCTACTTAATTATTTTACATGGTCCAACTGCATAAATCAGAAATGATGACATGGAAATTGTGACTGAACTAACTGATATTTATTGAGAGCTTCTAATTGGCAAGTTGAGAGCCAAGTGTTAACATGCATTACATAATACATAGTATTTCCATTTTTGATTAGAAGGTGGCATTACAGACACCTAGTAACTTTTAAAAAGTCACATATTGTAAGTTTCAAAACCAGAATAATTCTATATCTCTCTAACTGGAGATCACATTGACTCAATTATTAAGTTACATTACCTGCATCCCTGCAAGTACTTACAAAACTAAGGAGAACTTTCCTGACTTTAATGATCACATGAATTTTCTGAAAGTTTGAAAAAGTGTTGTTCTAAAAAAGTTTTACACTTTTATTTATCATTTAACACTTATTTATCATTTAACACTTAAATTTTCCTTTTTATATTCAACATTGTTTAAATTTTTGGATAAGTTTAGTATGTCATGTAACATATTCAAACATAACATATTTCCTTCAATTTTTAATATTTTTGCAGAACTCAACTATTCAAAATAAAAGACCATTTGATAATCCCATTAATAGTAAAATATAAATCAATCAACAAATGTAATTTAGTGCAAGAAATTAATATATATGCTCATATATGCCACTTTTCTTATTCCCCTATCCTCATGGCACTGTGACAAATACTGGATTTAAAAATACTGATCATTTTAGGTTCTAATAGTGGTTTTGTAATGTTAAAGCATTCCTGTTGAATCTGACTTTAAATTAAGGATGTTATTATTATTCATGAACTTTTTTATTCCTAACTAATTTATCACTTTTCATTGCCCCAACTAATGATATATCTTAATCAAAATAGAATATCTTATTCAAAGAAAGCGTATTCTAGCATGAAGCACTTGTTGGACACACTGAAGGATGTAGAACCAAACCTTTAGAATTTCAGCTGTGAAATGAGCAGTGACACAATCGCCCCGCCCAGTTTTCAGGACTAGAGATGTCGTCATTATAGACCATTTATTCTTAAATACACCTACCTAGAGCACAGTCTCTGCCTTCACTTAGTTTCAGGAATGAATAACCAAGGAGTAACCTATGCAGAACTGAATCTACCTAAGAAATCAAAAGGACGGCAAGTAAAACCCAAGGGCACTAAAATCTCAGAACCCCAGCAGGAAATAACTTATGCAGACTTAAAACTTCGAAATGTTTCTCAGGATCTTCCAGGGAAAGACAAGCGCAACCACTGTAAAGGTAAATCTTTTTTTTTTTTTTTTTTTTGTTTAAGACACATTTATTCAGCATTGAGACATAGGGCAAGTTAGGGTAATTAGGCAACTTTAGAGACAGTGCAGGAGGGGACCTCTGAAGAGTTTAGGAAGCCTTCAGAGATAAGGACAACTAGAGGAATGTAACTAATTCCACTGGGAAAAACAAACATCCCAGGACCAAGGACACCACTGTTAATGCTGGCCTTGGTTTCCTTCAGGTGATAAAGGATGGTGGAGTTTGGGGAAAGGGAGAGTGGTTTAATTAGGGCAGCAGACCCATTTATGCAAGGAGGAGATGAGAAGGGATCAGCACTAAGACCGGTGGGCAGCAGCCTGTTTTTCTTCAATAGCTGATTTTTAACTTTAATGCAGGGGTGCTCATCCGGAGGACTGGGCCATAAAGATAAAGATGCAACACATGGGGAAAGACAAATCTGTTAGATAAGAAATGTGAAGATCCCCGACTCAGTAACAGTGAGGCCCTCTTGGGAACTAACCAATCAGGGAAAGACCACTGGAATTTGAACATAGTGAGGGAAAGAAAGTATATATTCCTGAAGCAGTATCCCATACTGGCTCATCTTGGCCCCTCCCAGATACCTTATATCTGGGATTCTTTTTTCTTTGTCCTTTTTCCTAAAATAAACTTTTCTTTCTAAGACAAGATTTGCTTCTCTCTGCTTACTTATCTGACAATTCTGTGAATTCCTTTCCACGGCTTCATGAGACAAGAACTCATGGTAAAGCGGCAGCAGCAGCTGTTACACACACCAGCATCAGCATGATGATCAATCAGACTAATCAGGCTATTACATTTAGCAATGGGTGCAAAAAAAAAAAAAATCTACATTTTGTTGGAATACTTTATGCTTTCCACAGAACAGAAACTAAAATAACCTGTTACACAATTAGTCACAAATACAGTCCTCGAGTTTTTTGCCCATACACATGAGTATTGTCTAAAACATGTCTTCTTTGTAGCAGCTGGGCCCTGCCACCACTGTGTTTGGCTAAATTCACAAATCTGTTGTAACCTGTCACTTCTCTGGCACTCCTTTCCTGCTAAGCTTTGTTTCTTGGCAGTTAATTAAAACCAAAGGTAAAATTTTTAATAGCCTGCTCAGTATAAGTGTCCTAGGATATGTGGCTGGGTTGCAGCGGTGTGTGGCAGGGAGTAAGTTCACATATATTTCATTCGTGCAGATCATAGCTGAGGTGAAAATGTGGTATTCAAAGTTTGTAATAACTTGTAGTTTCTGACCAGCAACTCTTGGAGCATTATGTTTACTGAAAATACAGTGATATATTCTGGGAGAGAGATAACGATGAGAGAAAGAGGTCTCGGGTACAAGCTTATCTATGTGACTCCCTGTTTATGTAGATTTTCTTGTCTGTAAACTGTCTGAACAACTGTCTCCTTCAGTCCTTTCTCAGCGTTTCCATTTCTCTCCCTGCAGGCTTAGCAGCACCTCCGGAGAAGCTCATTGCTGGGATTTTGGGACTCACCTGCCTTGTCTTGATAGGCACTATTGTGACCCTGTGGGTTATTTCCAGTAGGTAAATTTATGAAAGATTATAAGGGAGGTTTTCACTTAATGATTGTCAGTGCCTCTAAATAATTCACAATATTAAGATAAGAACGCTCTTATTATTGTCAGTATTTAGACTAAATGATGCATGTTGATTCTAATTTGTCTAAATTATAGATATAAAAAATGATTGTAAAGAGTATGTTATATATTCAGATTTCAGAAGTCAATAACATACTTTTGAAAAGTGAAAGGCATTATTGAGAAATACAGATTCATTCTTGAGATTTGTTAAAACAAGCATTGTAGGAGTTCAGAAGTTTTAGGTCTATAAATTTTCAAAATAATTTTCACCTGTTTTATTCCTTTTTCAATCCACTTGATAAAATATGTTGTATTATGGATTATTCTAATTCTAACTAATGTGCAAATTTATAACTTAGAAACTCATATTATTATGACTTACTAAGATCAATATTAGTTTTTATTTTATTTTTTTCTAGTTACAGGGACACAGAAAAACAACTCATCATTAACAACACAAAAAGGTACATAATTTTAAAAATGTGAATGTTAGTACAACTTATTTATTGTCTATATCTTACACTAAGCAAAAAATGATAATTATTTGGAAAGTGGCTAATTATTATTTTGGACAATATTTTTCCACAGATGATGATAGTAGGAGAATGTTCTTGTATGCAACAACATCAGGAAATACTCATTTACAATCACCACACCCATTTTGGTCAATTGGGTCAAATGTTCTATTACTGTAATATGATGAGATAAACAATTTGAATGTTCAAAAAATGGTTTAGTTCAATGATTTTCAGGCAAGCAGAGTGGATATTGTTGTTTGTAAGTTTGCTAGATATGAGCACATAAATTCTGGGATGAGGAGCTGATCCTTTTCTCTGTGTGTTTGTGTTTTGTTTTATATGCACCAGGTTATGAGATGCAAAGATATGATACACACATACATACACTTATATGTTAGTGGCTATGCATATCTATAAGATATTTTAATTTTCCAATTCAATTTTTTTTTTGACAACAGCTAATTTACCAGCTAATTCTTCCTTAGAATGTCATTATGGCACTTGTCCAAAGGATTCATTTACATACTCCAAAAGCTGCTATTTTTCCAGTAATGAAAAAAAAACCTGGAATGAGAGCGTGAAGGCCTGTGCTTCTAAGAAATCTCACCTGCTCTACATAGATCATGAAAAAGAAATGGTAAGATTCTAATGTATCAAAAAGTTATCTTAGAAAATGCATATTTACAGAATAAATCCGTAGTTTTGCACATATTAATGGTTTATTTAAGTGTGTACAATATTCTATTGTCTGATTTTATTTATATTTTTCCATCATTGCTGCACACTTGATAATGTCCAGAGTTGCTCTACTTAGAAAACCCTGTGGCTGTAACTGCTTTTGTTTCTAAAGTAAACTTAGCAATTTTAATCATACTCTACATCAAGGCAGTCAGGCATCTGGAAAAGGTGCGGATTTATCACACAGTGAGTAGAATCTTTTACCTACAAATCAGACATGAAATAGATGTGCCTAGTGCCCGGCAGTCCCCTCCTTCACTCTCTCATCACTGCTCCTTGCTGGGTATTTAACCACTGTCTTACTTTGACTTCTGTAGACCTCACTGCTTCTTATTGAACTTTAGACACAAGGCATCATACAGTATACATGTTTATTTAAAACATGCTTTTTTGAACTCTCCATATAGTTTTTTTTTTTTGTAATTAACCCATATTATTGCATCGATCTTTAGTTTGTCATCTTTACTGCATGATGTGAATATGACATTTAAAAATCCATTTTATCCAGTTTCCTGGTGGAAGACATGAGACTGATGCTCTCAGGGGTAAAGAGGTCTCCTGGGTTGAGCACATTTATTCTCAGATTCCCTTTGCTGCTCCCACCTCCAATCCTTGCCCCAACTTGGTGACTCTGGGTGGGCAGGAGGAGAGCTGCTTCCTCTAGCTGTTTATTGCATCACCGTTGTCAGGCTTCCCTGCTGTCTCTGAGCAGGATTCCCTTCAACTCAGGAGGAGCCACCGCCTGTCATTATTGGGATCTGGAAGCAGCAAACCTGGGTCACATTCTTCTGTGGGCGGGATATAAGATCCTGTCTCTGTTTTGTTCCTTAATGCTGGGTTCCCAAACCATTTTGACTTTCTCTTTCTACCTTTTGCTGTTCTCCTTTACTTTTGTCTTTAAATAGAACTTACAGTCTACTTAGTAGGGAGTAGTGTGGAGAACTGACTAGAAACACCTTTTCTGGAACTCTGAATTCTACCAGTTCAGAAGCAGTGATCTGGGCTTGTCTAGTTAACGATGGTGTGCAATTTGGCTTCTATATCATATTTTTATCCTCAAAATTAATATCCTTTTAAAATCCCTATTCAGCGCCTCTCTGGCAGTGCAGTGGGTTGAGTGCAGCACTGTGAAACTGTCCGCAGCCTCTGCAGGGCAGGTTTGATTCCTGGTCAGCCAGGCAGCTACCCACATGGCGTAGCACACCTCTCCTGTCTTGCCCACTGCTCCTCTCAGCAGTGTCTTTGGTCCGTCTGCCTGTTCTGCTCCTCACTCTCTCTGGTGAATCCTCTCACCCTCCTGTGCCTGTGACCTGTACCAAAGTTCTTGTATAAATAAATAAATCTTATAAAGAAAAAAAAATTGACATTGTATAAAGCCTTTTCATCTCTATCTTAGGGTTAGATTGGAATCTAGCAGTCTCATCATTCTAAAAATTAAGACAGCTCTGAAAGGACACACACTGTATTGTTAAAACAACAATGTATTCACATGGGTATTTAAATGAAAATTTTTGTATTTGGAAGGAATTTCTGAAATCCATGGAACTTCTCTCATGGGTGGGAGTCTCCCGTGAAAGCAGCAACCAGCCATGGAAGGCAATAAATGGTTCAGTTTTCAAACAAAAGTAAGTTTTCTTTCCTTTTCATTTTGAATGCATGGGATGATTTTAATAAAATCCTTTGCAAATGTACAGAAAGTAAGTCTCCAAAATGGAAAATGTAATGTTTCCCCACTATGATTAATGAATATTCAGGGATAAGCTTTCACTCTTTAAAAAAATATATTCATGTTTAAAATACTTCAATATACATTTAATATATAAAATATTAATTCATTATATTTTTCTCTTTTGTAACCACTGTTTTTTCATATTTACTTGTTTTTGTGTTTAACTAATAAAATTTGGATATCCCTATCAGTTGTTACCACTTGGTGCACCCACCACCAAGTCATCTGGGGTCACTGCCATGTCCTTGTGCTTCCTGCCTTATTTATTCTTATCCCTTCTCTCCTCTGACCCTGTTCTGCTTTCTTTTAAGTAATAATATGTAGGAAAAATAAGGAAGTAAAATTCATAATAATAATAATAAAACAATTGTTGCACATGAATTATAGACATGAAGATGTTGAAAGATAATGAATATTTGATAAATTATGAATGAACAGCTCAGTTTTACATAATCCCAACATGCACTAATAGTCCTTACACACTTTTCAAAATATTCATATATAGGAGTTATATAGAAAATGCTATTATTTCTTGTTAGTATATAATAACATAATTAATTGTTTTCTCCATTACAGCGTAACTGATTTATCAACTGGCATCAACAATAACTGTATTATGTTAACCTCCTCTGGTCTCAGAGCAGATCTTTGTGAATATCGGAGTGTGTATTATTGCAAGCAGAGGCTTTAGGTCAAGAATGACAGAGTTTGGATTCTGTTGGGAGACTTTATATTTCATGAAATGAAAACAATATGATGATTACAATTATTTTTTTAAGTAATGTTGAAAAACAGTGGTATATTCATCAAAAAGTGCAGATATCATTACTGTTGTGTCTGGATATTTTTTGCTCAGTCTTATATTTGTGACATCCAACCTTTGTAAAAGGTCATACTTGTGTGAGTTTGTTTGTATGAAGTATCAAAAAATGGCAAACTCACAGATATAGAAAATAGGTTGGTGATTGCTGGGGACTGAGAGGTAAGAAGAGGAAATGACCATCAACTGGTTTTGTGTTTCATTTTGGGATGATGAAAGTTTTCTAATTATTGAGAGAAGTAATGGTTAAGAGCTGTAAATATTGTGAATATTCTAAAATATTTGATTTTTGCTCTCTAAAGAGATGAGTTTTATGTTTTGTATATTATTCAATTTCAAACAATAAAGCTGCTGTCAAATAACTTATAAAAACATGGCTTATGTTTGAAACTCCATTTTCATTTTTAAAGTGATATGCAGACATTAAACAACCATTTTTTTGTTGGCCTTTTTTTATCTAAATCTAGTCTTACTTCCTACAACTTGCTTCCTGAAAGTATACATGTTGCTTTGTTTCTATAACTGTTTAGATCTCTCTACAATGCTTATTATTCCATCCACAGCCAGTTTTATCCATTCATGCATTATGTCATTCTCATTTTATTTTCTATTGTGTTCTGTATTTTTATAGACATCTTCTGGTAATATAGGTATTTCATAGTCATGCTTTTGTAATGGTATTCTTATCTTGAAAGTCCCCTTAGTAATTTTTGTTGTTATAAACAGAAATTACATGTGGTGTCCGCACATAAATTTTATATCCTGCAGTTTCATGGGCTATATGTATTATTTGTATCATTTCAAATATTCATATAACAGGATAGAACACTTAATATCAACTGCTATTTCATCTATAAATAATCACACATTTGTTACTTCTTTATAAATGCAAGTACTTTGTTTTTGACTTATAGGCCTGGGTTTTATTTCTTTCTTTCTTTTTTAATGATTTATTTATTTATTTATACAAGCACTGGGTACTGTCAGAAGCGCGGGAGGGTGAGAGAATTCACCAGAGCCAGAGCGGGGAACTGAACAGGCAGACCGACGAAATACACTGCTGAGGGGAGCAGCTGGCGCGGCAGAAGAGGTCTGTGCGCCATGTGGGACCCTTGCTGGTGGCTGGGGATCGAACCAGCGCTTCAGAGGCCTCGGGCAGCTTTGCAACCCAGCTCTCAACTGCTGTGCCACCAGGGGAGGCCCTTGGGTTTTATTTCTAATGTTGAACAGAAGGCACAGTGAAGGTCTACCTGTGTCTTTAATAACTTCAGAGAAACAATTTTGGTATTTCACTTCACTGTGAGACTTATTTTAATTTTTCCAACATGTTTTCCCTAATAAATCCAATTCTATAATATTCCTCTTTTTATGATCATTTTATAGTCAATTGATGTTTTCTTTTGTTATTTTTCATCATAGGAATGAGTTATTGTCTCTCCATGTTCATGAAGCAAAATATCTTTACTTTTTTAGAAATGTCAAACATCTTTTGGCAAGGACCATGCTACTGGTGTCCTCTGTCAAAGGTCCAGGCATGGGGCAGATTCCTGAAGTCAGGAATCTCCTTAGCTGACACCTGCTAAATTCTTCTCATTTGTTTATGGCTGGCTTCTACTGAATGTGGCAATTGTTAAAATATGAATGTAGAAGTAAAACTGCAAATGCTGTATGACCAAATACTAAATAACTAAATTGACAACAATGGCACTGCATGATATAAACAGTACATTTTGAAGCAATTAGTATTTTTCTGCTTGAAGGCAGTGATTCAGAATTTGGTTTCATTGTAACAAGTGGTATGCCACACTTAAAATCTTCTGAGAACTAAAGGTTGTAAACATTCCTGGCCAAGTCTTTGATGTAGAATTGTGGTCTTTTAAGACAGTGACCATCTGGAGAGTTTTAAAGTTAGAGATAGCAGTTAAAGTTAGAAGCAGCAGTTAATTGACAAAATAATCAGGGAATTAACAGGTGAATATATAGCCTTGAGAAAGTAAAAGGAGTTCCCCCCCCCTTTTTTTTTTCTTTTGAAGCTTGGGGTTAGATAAGGGTTAGTGCAACTTAGGTGGCACTGGGATTCTTTGGGTTTTTTAATATTTTTACTACTTTTATTAAATTATAATAGATTAGTTATAGGAATAAGAATTTTTTTTTTATTTTAGCAGTAATTGGACTTGATTACCAATATATAAGGTGATTATATTTTTTAATGTTTAAGATTTAGGAATTTTATAAATTTTGATTAATTAGTAATTTAGCTGTAATAAAGGAATTAAGTTTTAGTCATATAAGTTTTTGTTACTTTGCTGTTTTATAGCATTAACAGAATGATTACTGGGCAGTGGAAATTAAATGATTGTTAGTGGACATTTTTTGTGGTAACTGTATGTAGAACTAAGTGAAATTGCTGTCATCACCTCAGCAAGGGTCCAAGGTCCCCAGGCTGGTTTGGCTAGTCCTTTTTTATACTTGAAAATACTTGCTTATGTACTCCCATGGGTTGCTAGCTGGAGATGTATAAATAAAGAATGCTGAGACCCTCTGCAGGATGATACTTGCACCCTGATCAAGGGTCAGTGTCTCCTCATTCCCTTCCCCCTCAACCCCTCAGATTCATCCACGCCATCTCACCCTTGCAGGAATCCCTGAGAAGACAGTTTGCCAGAGCTGGCTTCTGGCAATCTTTCATTTCTGAAATAAAACCACAATGATCATTCTCTTTTGTTGTGTATTAAAATGCAGCGCTCTCTTGAGAATGGCCCATATAAAAAAGATTAGCAACACAGGTGTTGATGTGAGTGTGTTAGGGCAATCTTGTACATTTTTGGTAGAATATAAATTGGTTGAGTCCCTATTCCTCAGGGATCACGAATAGACCTTCTGAATGATTCTGCAATTCCACTCCTCAATATCTACTGGAAGGATTAAAAATCACTAATTTGAAGGGATATATAACTCCTATGACCATTGAGCAGTATTTCCGTAGCTAGGTTATGGAAACAACCTAAGTCTTCAATGGAAGATGAGTGTTTTAAGAAGCTGTCTATATACACAATGGAATACTACTCAGCTATAAAAAAAAATGAATCCTGCCATTTGGAACAAATGAATGGAACTAGAGTTGATGATGGTAAGTGAAATAACTCAGAAAGAGATAAGTGCCACATAATTTCACTCATATTTAGAATATGAAGACACAATGCAACAAGTAAACCAAAATTAGGAAAAAAAAAAAAATCAAACTCAGAAAATAATGCAGAAGTGAGGCTACCTACCTGAAAAGGATAGTGGGAATGCGGGATGGAGGGCAGGTGGGGAAGGGAAGCAATGAACATGGTGGAGGATAGTGTGTACTTCAATAATGGACATGGTAAGGTTACTTACTTCTGTGAAAGCATGAACTTATACCCTAAAACCATGTACAGTGTCATCAATCAATGTTACTTAACTGAAGTGATATAAAAATTGAATAAAACAAACTGGCAGACATGTTTGATTGAGGTGTTTTTCTTCAGACATGTCATTAAGACAGTAGGCTATATTTTCTTAGCAAGATCTAAGTACTCAGCACTTGTGATTGAGATGGAAGCACTTTAACAGCACACTGTCAGGTCATTTGTATTCTGACATATATTTGAAGAGGAACATAATTTCTCAGCACATTTCAAAATGGGTAAACTACTTAGCATCCTATGAGCACATATGGCTCCTATCCTCTGTGACTGCATCAACTGTCTTTATCCCAGTGTTAGACTTTCCTGTTGAAATTTTAAGTGACACTGATAAGAAATCTACTTTTTCTGAACTTGCCTCACTCTGAACCTTCACAGGAGAGTCTGTGCAAAGCACAAGCATTATTTCTTTTGTTTCCAAGAGTAACCAGGTCTCCCGCGAGAGGATACTCTACTCTTTGGCCAGCAGAAGGTATGTGTTCCTACTCTCCTGTCTCTCTACCAGCCCACCTCATGAATGGGAGGTAACAAATGCTGTATATGATGCAATATTTGATTTGCAATTAAATAATATAGAATGTTATTTCTTTTATTGAATAACTCAGAGTGAGGAAATTGTACCAGGGTGGTCCTCTCCCTGCCCTGTAACAAAATGACCATCACATATCATAAGGTTCTTAATTATTCAAACTCTTGCTTTGGAGAATTAGTCAAGTACATGTATGCAAAGATGATTTTTTTTTTTTTCCCAGCATCTCAGTTTTATCTGAAATCCCACAGGCATCAGGTAAGGGTGAGTTTATTTTGGATTTTGTGATCAGTACAGATATAATTCTGTACATAATTTGAAGTTTAGTTCAGCCTCTAAATTGAATGTATCTATCAGGAAGGTCCAATGCAATTCCTCACACATTTGTTATAGTCATTAAAAGTAGTTTAATTAAAAAAACTGTGACAAGGAGTTTCCATACTTTCTTAGGTATAAATCATCAATGTATTATTTTAAAAATTAATCTAAGCATAGTAAAAAATGATAAACATCACTGATAAAAGAGACTCTGTCTAATGAATTATGTAATATGGTCTAACTGTTATGAAAAGAAATAAGAACATGGCAATTTGCCAAGGAATATTTAAAAGGACCAAAATTTACTGAATATTTATAAAAGCCAGATTGAGTACTAAGTGTTTCACATGCATTATATCTTACACAAATATACAATTCCCATCTTAGATTGATAAACAAAGTTGCTGGATTTTACGTAACTTCACACATGGTAGATTTTAAAACTAGAATTTATTCCAGATACCAGGAAGGTCCAATGCAATTCCTCACACATTTATTATAGTCATTAAAAGTAGTTTAATTAAAAAATATATAGCTATATAGCTATATAGCTCAACAACTTCTTTATTAAATTATGTTTTTTGATTTGTTGCAACAGTTCACAACTAAAGCCACCTTCACACTCTAGGTCAGTCATAGGATCCTTCTGGAAGTTTGAACCAACAGTGTTATTCCCTAAGTTATTTTTAATTTATCATTTTAAGAATTCTTTAAAATCATAGTCATTAAGGCATTTGCCTATGTATTGTAAAGAAATATTGTTAAAAAAATCTTTTGGTTGTTTTGTTGTCAGTATTGTGTAGGATTTGATTATTTTAGTGTATTGTCACACTTTCCATATGCAAAATATTATTTTCAAAAATGTTTCTCAGTATCACACAGTAATTTAAGATTAAAATTTTATTTTAACACCTCATCCTTTGCCTTTTCATAAATAATGTAAGTCATTACCTAAGAACAGTGACTGGAAGTAATTCGGGGAAGGATATCATTATATATATGTTAACACTGCTCTTCCCCCAACCTCAATCTGTAAATAATGATTTAAAACTTGTGATAAATAGGTGCATAATATTTTTCTAATATGGCATTTTAATTTTAGCACAGCTATTCTAAAGGAGTTCAAATGTTTCTGTGGAATATGACTTTGCATAATAAGAATATTTAATCATGAGCTGTGTTATTCTTCATTCTTTGTTTTTTATTGCCCCAACCAACAACATTATTGGTAAAATACAGAGTGTGTTGTGTGAATCTAACTTGTAACTCACTTTATTGCCGCAAGGAAGTTAGAACCTGACTTGGCCATTGTTTAACTGCACTGTAAGTGGATCTTTCATCTCACAGCAACTCACAAGACTACAAGAGTGATGTCACCATTGTATGTGCTGTTTATTATCTACATACGTGCCATTTACAAGCTACTTTTGCACACAGAGTGCAGTCCCATGTGTTCTGTGACATGACGCAGCTGCGAGAGGCACAGCCAAAGTGAACACCACCCACAATTGGTTCTGGACTCAAGAGGAAAACCAATGAAAGGTAAGAGCACCGGATGCTCCATTTCAGTAACAGAGTCTCAAATAGCACTCTGGCATTACACCTTAAAATGACATCTCAGTGTCTTCAAGGGGATGACAAGCAAAGACGTGTGATACACCTGGTCTGTGATGCAGGATCAGAGTGCGGACGTGGGGAAAGAGTAGGGTATAAGCTCACATAGATTTCATTTGTGAAGGTTGGAGCTTGAAGTTTGATTATGTCATTCTAATATGAAATGTGAGGACTCTTCAGGCATTTTTGGGAGCTGTAGCCTTTGATCAGTAACTCATGGGAATTATATAGTGAAAGAGTAATGGCATATTGAGGTGAAAGATTGCAATGGGGGTTGTGGGTCGGGATCCAGCCTTCTATGTGTGACTCACTGTGCCGGTGGGTTCTCCTGTCAGTATTTGTCTCCATATCTCCCTTAGTGTTTCGATTTCTCTCTGCACAGACTTGCCATTACCTCTAGGGACGGTTGCTGCTGAGGTCCCGGGGGTCATCTGCCTCATTTTGGTGGCCACTGCAGGAAAGACCAGAGTCCTTATTCCCTGTAAGAAAAATTTTGAAATTTCATGCACTAAATATGTAGCGCCTCTAAAGAGTTCATATTTTGGGAAATAGCTCTGAATTTAATGCATTTTTTCAGACTAATTATGGATTGTTTTTTCAACAGTTGTCCAAAATATTAGATATACAGAGCATATGTTTATTAAAAATAAAAATATTTTTAAATATTGTATTAAACATCTCATTATAAACTATACTTTTATTCTTTAATAAAAGTATAAAATCATACTGATTATGGAGAGGATTGTGCATATATGTATGCTGATATATATATTTCATAACAAACATGTGTAGGAGACTAAAGTAACTTATTGAGAAATGCAAATTAATTCTTGAGATATGTTAAAGGAAATACTTTAGGATATGGTGAAATAATGTCCTTGGTGTTTGAATTTTTTCCTAATCTATGCTTTTTAATTTTTTTGGAAATATTAATTTTATTCAAGATTATTCTAATCTTAAACAGTGAAGTGAACTGAAATTAAGAAATTACAATAAATATATTTATTCAGATCATTGTTAACTTTATAAGGATTATTTAAATATTTTCTAGATATTGTAAGGCCAGAGAAGAATAATTTCTCACCATTAACAATGAAACAAGTTATATAATGATTTTCAAATATCAGTGTTAACAATTCATCTTTTGTCTATCTTAAACTAGGCAAAAGTGATAACAGTCTTTTGGAAAGAAGCAAAAATTGCACAATAAATATTCATGAATGGTAACAGGACAGTGTTCCTTCATATGCAACAACACGAAGAAATATTCATATACAATCTCTACATCCATTTTACAACATCAATTCACAAAAAAAAAAAGTTCTCTTTTCTTTCTTTCTTTCTTTTTTTTGAAAACGTCATTTGTAGGGACAGGAAGGCCACTGTACAGGTTTCAACGATTGGAGCCGACCGTCGTAAAGGAGAGTCCTGGAGCCCTCCACTACTCCCTCCTGCCTCTCTCCAGCTTCTCTCCTGCTTCTGCTTCTCTTGGTGACTATTTGAATACTCCTCCCTTGGCCCAGAGAAGTAAATAAGACAGTTTGCAACAATCTAACAGCAGTAGGTGCCCATCAGGCAGGGCAATCCTAATGGTGGGAGGGCAGAAAAGCCTGAAACCATTTACCTTACATGATTGATTTGCAAACATATTTGCAAATGTGCAGAAGTTATGTCTCCCAAACAGAAAATGTAATGTTATTAGTCACCACTATGATTAACTCATGCAGGTATAATCTTTTCACTCTTTTAAAAAAATACACTGATATTTAAATATACATAAAGAAATACTTAATGTAAAAGATATTAATTCATTATATTTTCCTCTTTTGTGATTATTGTCATTTCCTATTTATTTATTTATTTTTTAATGGATCATATTTGGATACCTCCATCAGTTCTTACCACCATGGTGCACCCACCACAACAACCACCATGTTCTTGTGCTCCCTCCATGTTCTTAAGTCTCTGATATTTCCCCTGGTAAATGTTCTTTTAAGTAAAGCTGTATACAAACAAAAGAAAAAAATACAATTCAGAAGAATAACACAGTTGCTTGAGTTGAATTCTAGACATGAAGCTGTTGAAAGTTAATGGACATTTGATAAATTACGAAGCATGATAATTGGTTTTACTCAATCCCTAGTCCTACTAATATTCTTTATACAATTTAAAAAATATATTCTTATATAATAGCTAATGGAAAATGATGTTTCTTCATTTGCCCTATAGTATATAATAACAGAATTAAGTTTTTTTCCCGATCACAGGATAACAGATCTGAACTCTGACAAGTATAACTGTGCTAAGTTAACCTTATCTGGCTTTGGAGCAGATCTTTGTAAACATCCAAGTATTTGTTGTTGCAAGCGTAGAATTTAGGTTAACAATGACATTTTTGGATTCTGTTGGGAGGATTTACATTTCATGAAATGAAAACAATATTATGATTACATAAGTCTTAATACTCATGTTATTTGTTGTAGTAATGAGTTTTTTGTTTTTTGGTTTTTTTTCCAAAAACAGTATTGAAAAACTCTAAGATACACATCAAAAAGTACAGGTATCATTACTCTTGTGTCTGGAGTTTTTGCTCAATCTTCCATTTGTGACATTGAATCTTTTAAAAGGTCACATTCTGTGTGAGTCTGTGTATATGAAATACCAAGAAATGACAAACTATAGATATAGAAAGTAGGTTTGTAGTTGACGAACCGAAAGGAAGACAGAAAAGGAAATGACCATCAATTGTTTTAATGCTTCTTTTGGGGTGATGAAAGATTTCTAAGATTGTGAGCAGTGATGGTTACAAACTGAGAATACTGGGGCTATTCTAGAATCTTTGATGTATGCTCTCTAAAGGAATGAATTTTATGTTTTGTAAATGTACTTCAATAAAGCTACTTTTTTAAAAAGAAATAACCCTGGGTTTGTATTTGAAACTCCACTTGATTTTTAAAGCATTTGCAAACATCAATTTTTGTTGTTTCTGTTCTTAATGTCAACTTATTTCCTGCAGCTTGCTTCTTGAATGTATACTAGCTGCTTTGTTTCAATAACTGTTTAGTCATCTTTACATTTATTATTCCCATTTATAGCAAGCTTTATCTGTCCATGCTTTATGTCTTTTTCATTTTATTATCTCTCTATTATTTTCTGTATATTTACAAAGTCTTAGAGAGATAAGGTATTTCACAGTCATGCTTTTATAAGTGATATTCTTATCTTTGAATTTTGTCTAGTAATTTTTGCCGTTGTTAACAGAAGTACAAGTGAGACTTGCACATTGATTTACATCCTACAATTTGATGGACTAGATGTATTATTGCTATCATTTCAAACATATGTTCAGCAGAATAGAACATTTAATATAACTGCTATTTCATCTATAGGTGATCACACATTTGTTTCTCTATATAAATGCAATTGCTTTGTCCTTGACTTATTTTTAGGCTTTGGTTTTATATCCAGTGTTGAATAGAAGGTACAGTAAAGTTTCTGTGTGTAACTTTGACAATTTTAGAGAATGGGATTTTGATATTTCACTTCGCTATGAGATGTAATTTTTCATCATATTTTCTCTAATAAAGCCAATTCTATAATGTTCTTTTTATGATTGTTTTTTATGCAATTGATGTTATTTTTTATCATTTTCCATCAATTGGAATGAGTTATCTTTGTATGTTCATGAAACACAATATCTTTATCTTTATTTTTCTACAAATGTTAAACATCTTTCACTTCTGAAATAAAATCATAATGATCATTCTCTATTGTCATGTTTTAAAATTCAGTGCACTTGTGAGAATGGCCCATATAGAAAAGATCAGCAAGAAAAGGTGATGATGACTGTAGGAAAAAAGAACCCTTGTACACTCTTACTAGAATATAAAGTAGTTATGCACTTATAAAAACAGTTTGGAGGTACCTCAAATTTTACAAATAGATCTGCTAAATGATCCTGCAATTTCACTCCTCAAGATCCATTGGAAGGCTTATAAACCAGCAATTGAAGGTATATATGCATTCCTATGTCCATTACAGCAGTACTTCCATAGCCAAGTTATGGAAACAACCTATTTCCCAATGGCAGATGAGTGTATTAAGAAGATGTGGTATATATACACAATGGGATACTACTCACCTATAAAAAAGATGAAATCATGCCATTTGGAACAGCTTGGATGAACCTAGAGGTGATGATGTTAAATGAAATAACTCAGAAAGAGATAAACAAATACCACCTGAGTTCACTCATATTTAGAATACAGGAAACAAAGGAATAGTTAAAATAAAACTAAAGAAAAACTCAGAAAACTTCAGATTGAGAAGAAAGGGAGGGTAGAAAGTGGGGAGCAGATAAATTGTGGAAAGGGAACTAATGAAATATGGTGGAAGATAAAGGTACTTCAATGATGGACATGGTATGGTAACAATTCATAAGGGTGAAGGTTATTAATTCATAATAACATAAGGGTGTACAGGCATGACCCTACACCCTTAAACCATGTGCAGTGTTATCAATCAATGTTACCTAAATAAAATGGATATAATTTCAAAATGAAATGAAATAAATTGGTGGATAAATTATACTTTGATTGAGGTTTTTTTTTTTTTTCCATCAATGTCTTTCTTAATAAGACCTAAGTTTTCAGTGCTTGTGACTGATATGGGAGAAAGTTAACAGCAAAGTCTGGTCAGGTCTTTTGTACCCTGCCATATTTTGAATAGGAATATAATTGCCATGATACATTTGAAAATGGACAAACTGCATAACATGTTATGAGGTCAAATGTGTTCTATATTCTGGAGAGGTGTGAAGACATAAAATGTCTTCATAATAGTACAAGTGTTTGAATTTCCTGTTGAAATTTTAAGTGACACTGATAAAAAATCTACTTTTTCTGAGCTTGCCTCACTCTGAACCTTCACAGGAGAGTCTGTGTAAACCACAGACATTATTTCTTTTGTTTCCAAGAGTAAGTAGGTCTCACGCCAGAGGCTACTCCACTCTTTGGCCAACAGAAGGTATGTGTTCCTACTCTCCTGTCTTTCTACCAACCAGTCCCATTGAATGGGAGATTGCAAATGTTGTGTATGATGCAATAGTTATATGAAATCAAATTATAAAGAACATTGTTTCCTTAATAATTCAAGGTGGGGAAATTACCATCAAATATAATAGGATTTCTTAATTATTCAAACTATTGACTTTGGAAAATTTGTCAAGTGTATACATGAAAAGGTAATTTTATTTTTTATCAACATAACTTTACCTGAAATCACATAGACATCATGGCAAGGAAGAGTCTACTTTGGATTTTGTAATCAATATGGATGTAATTCCATACATTATTTAAGTTTAGTTCAGCCTTTAAAATGGATTTATCTATCAGAAAGTTGCAATGGAATTCCTCATACAAATGTCTAGAGTCATTAAAAATAGTTTAATTAAAAAAAAACATGATGAGGTAATTTCCATACATTCTTAAGTATCAATCACCAAAAGTATTATTTTAAAAATTAAGCTGAACACAGTCAAAAAATGATATACATCACTGATAAAAGAGACTCCTTTCTAATGAATTTTGTGATATGGTCTACTGTTATGAATAAAAAATAATAACATGGCAATTTGCCAAAGGAATATTTCAAAGGACCAATATTTATTGCTAAGTCTTTCACATGTATGATATCTTACATAGTTTATTCCCATCTTAGATTTGCAAACAAAGTTGCTGGATGTCGGGGAACTTCACACATAGTAGTTTTCAAAATTAGAGTTTATTCCAGATTCCACTCGCTACACAGCCCACTGACTTCATTATTAAATTACATTATCTGTTTGTTGCAACTGTATACACAACTAAAGCCACCTTCACTGACTATGACAGTCATAGTATCCTTCAGGAAGTTTAAAGCAACAGTGTTATTCTCTTTGTGATTTTTAATTTATCACATTACGATTTTTAAAAAATCATCGCCATTAAGCAATTTTCCTATGGATTGTGCAAAGTAAGTATTGTTAAAAAATCTTCTGGTTGGTTTGTGGATTAGATGATTTTTGTGTCTTGTAAAACTTTAATATGCAAAATACTTCTATAAAATGTTTCTCAGAGTTACACAATAATTTGAGAAAAAATATCATTTTAGCACCTCATCGTTTGCCTTTTCATAAAAACATATGTCACTAAGTAAGAAAAGTGACTGAAAGTAATTTAAGGCAGGAGATTACCATATATGCAAAGGCTACTCTTCCTCCAACTTCAATCTGTAAAGAATGGATTTAGAACTTGCAAAATGTTTCTCTAATATGACATTATAATTTTAGCACAGCTAGTCAAATGGTGTTCAAATGTTCTGTGGAATCTGACTTTATAATAATAATAATCATGATCCAACCAATAATATTTTTGGTAAAATATAGAACATATTATATTTAATCCATCTTCTAATGCATTTATTGTTGTAAGGACGCTATACACGACCTGGCCATTTTTTAACTGGCTGCAAGTGTTTGTCTCTCTCACACCCACCCACATTGACTACAGGATGGATCTCATCATCATGTGCTGTTTCTTATCCACTTATGTGCATTCGCGAGCTACTTTCACACACACAGCTCAGTCTCTGACATTACGCAGCTGCAGAGATGCACAACCAGAGACAACAACACCCAGAACTGATGCTGAAAGGTAAGAGCGCGAGAATCTCCATTTCAGTAACAGAATGACAAATAAGTTCAGTAGAATTAAACCTT